CCACCCCGGCGAGTGGCACCTCCGACCTCCCGTCGCCCGCTCCCCCCAAACTCCAAGCCTCCAGCCCTCCACTCCAAACAACGCCCCCAAAGCCCCTCTATCCACTCGCCACTTCTCCTGCCGCGGGGCAAGCCCAATGCCACGGAGAACCTGTCCAAGACCCTACTCCGCATTTCTCATCAGCAAATAGAGATGGCTGGTAGAAGCTCTCAAAGCCCCCCCACCCTCTCCAGCCTGCACACCAAGACAAGACGGCATATGATTCTGCAGCCCTCCCTCCAACCCCCTTCTTACCTTCTTCCCCCCTCTCTGTCCCCCTCTGTTTGGTGCATTGCCACCTTTACCTATGGAAATCCCTGGAGATTTGAGGGGTGGAGCCTGGGTAACAATTGTTACCTCTCTCCAGGTGAGGGCTACAGATAACTCAAAAATACAAATGCTCTTCAGGTAGCACAGATCAGTCCCTCTGGAGAAAACAGTGCACTCTGTCATTATACCCTGCTGAGGTCACCACAGGAAGCTGACACTGTTTGCCCAAAGCCAGAGCACTCTCCAAGAGCCTCTTTCTAGATCTCGTTGTATTTATTTCCACAACGGGCCTTATTTCTAGTATTGTATATTTAAGTGACTGGAACAGTGACATAGGGATTCCAGCCTCCAGGTGGGACTTGGGGAACCCCTGGATTTACAGCTCACCTCCAGACTATAGAGATCAGTTCCCCTGGAGAAAGTGGATGCTTTAGAGCGTGAACACTCTGAGGTCCCTGTCCTCCCCAGACGCCATCCCGAAATCTATAGGAGTTTCTCAGCCTGAACCTGGCAACCCTTCCTTCCATCCCCCACCAGTGGCCAAGGGAGACCTGGCAACCCTACGCTTATATTTGTTAACGATGATGAATTCCATACCCATGAATGAAGATTCACTAGATAGGCAAAAAGGCTTCCTGTTTGACTCTGTAAGGGACAGCCCTGAAGGTCAAAGGTTGGATAGGCGCCATCTTGTTTCCCCATTAACATTAGACAATATGAATTAATTTGGGGGGTCCCTCAGCCTTGTAGGGGCCAGAGGCAGTTTACCCCCTTTGCTCCACACTCTTTGCATCTCTGTCTAGTGAAATAAAATGTCAGGGGAGGAGAGGGGAAACACCAGCTTTCCCCCTCAGTCAAGAAGTAATAACCTGACTGACTCAGTTTCCTGCACAGACAGTTCACAACACTTAAAACCTCAGTCGGGTGATCCAGTCCATGACCCTTAAAACACAGCGACATCTTTGCCCCAGCGCAATCTACAATCTTCTTCGGAGCTTCATTGGAGCTCTGTCCCTGAAACCCTGACAGTATCAAACACTACACAGGCAGGGAATTGAAACGGCAGCTTCATACAACTTCCATGCTCTTTTCTGCTTCCCGGCCAGAACTGAAGGATGCGGGGCCTGAGAGATTCTGTGCGGCAAACTGCTTAGTAGATGGCCTCGGCAGCTGTGCCGGCTGCAGCCATGGCAGTGTGTAAGAACCAGGTCCATTTATTATTAACCAGATCAAAGTGATTGCTAATTAAACCCTTGGTCTCACGGGGCTTAGAGAACTAATAGCCCGAGGAGCTGGCAAAGGAGATGCCCTCGGGACGAGAACAACTGTCGGCGGCTGGCATGATTGAAAAATTATAGCACACTAGGTGATAAATATTGGGGGAAGAGCCTAGCTAATTTGGGGGGCAAGAAAGCAGCATCATTTCTATAACTGGGGAGGCAGCTGGAAAGCAGTGAGTGGGGGGGGGTAGCAGACATACACATTAGAGACTCTTGTTTCTTGACCTAGAATCATTGCTAA